GGTCAGTGGACATGTGGGGTGTACAACAGGTGGCTGGAGGAAATAAAGGCTCTAAGACAACAGGTGTATCAATTTTAAATCCTAATGGCGGATTCAACCCCACCTTTGCCCGAAAAATCAATTAATATACTGAAATTTATGCAATTTAGGGTTTTCATTGCATTGAAACTACATTATTCAGGCTATTGCTTTTTTTTAATATCGGAAATGACACATGCTGCCTGTACGATCATCATCTTCAGTTGGCTAGCTCACATATTTCACGAACTGTTACCTGTGGGATATGTGAACAGGAAGTGAGGAGAGAGAGAAAAAACGCATGTTTAGTCACAACACGGGTCGATCATTGTTTGAGCGTGTAGCCTTGATGGTTATTCTTGTATGTCGCATACAATGCTTGTGAATGACTTCACCCGCAGCTGGGGTTTTAACAATAGGATATTATTACGCCTGTGCACAAATGTATTTCGGTCGGAATGCGCTGAAGCTCGAAAGTGCAATATATGTAATTGTTGGTAGTGTCGTCGTGGTCTAGGTAGGTTTATAAGGGATAGATACCCTTTCTTATCAGACACGTCTTTTGCAGACAGGTTAAGAGACGCATGCAGTGTTTATAGCATTCAATAAACCTCCTGGACCTTTAGGCCGACCAAGCTGTGCTAAGATTTCTGTCCGTCGATAACCGAGCATGAAAATCCCCTCAGAGTTACTCCGAATACTGCCAGTTGCTGTGTTTGTCGCTATCATAGAGCGCAAATTAAATGTGTTACTCCCAAACAGGATGTCAGGTACGCTATCCGCCATGTTTTCTGGCTCCACGTGAAAGTCGGAGGCGTTCATTCCTCACCTAGCGACAGAATGAGATAAAGAAAGAATGCGCTGAAGCATCAGGTAAATTCTTTTCACTCACAGCATGTAGATGTTTAGGGGACTTGTAGTGTGAATTCTTGTTATCTTTGGAATAATAGGTTGCAGTTTATGGTACCGGTAGACGCTTTTCGGCTTATTGTGATGTTATTTATAATTTGTCAACAGGAGATCAAGTGGTTTGAAAATAGCGGTAGACCTTAGGTTTTTTTATTACATGTAGCGTTAGGTTAACATGATTTAGTGCACGTGAGTGTGTGTGTGTGTGTGTGTGTGTGTGTGAGAGAGAGAGAGAGAGTATGTGTGTGTGCGCGCGCGCGTGTGTGTGTGTGCGTGTCTGTGTGAGTGTGTGTGTGTGAGAGAGAGAGAGAATTTAGCATCACTAGAAAACACAATATAATTTATTATTACCAGTAATAATTATCCTGCAGAAATTTTAAGTACCAGCATTAAAATAAGTAGACAATATGAAGTTCAGATGAAATATGGAAGGATTATTTAATGCTTACACGTGTGTGTGTGTGTGTGTGTGTGTGTGTGTGTGAAACTTTATCATCAGTAGTAACCATATACATAGGCAGATACTAGTATAACACAATATAAGATGGATTATTAATATTCATATGTGGAAGTTTAAAATACTTCTTTTGAATATAGTAGAATGCACAAGGAACATTATATTTGTTCAAATTAAAAAAAAATTAGAAAATTAAAAATAAACAATTACCTGAATAACTGTTATAATAATAAAATAGAAAGGTAACATAATTTTTTTTACTTTCAGATGAGTATACCCCGAACCTTTGCCAGGCCTAATTCAGTGGGATTTGTATAATGTAGTTGGACATCTTCGTCCAGAAGGATTTATATAAAAGCCTGTCATCTTTTTTGATAGTTGGACATCTTCGTCAAGAAAGAAAAGACTGTCACCAATTTGGATAGTTGGACATCTTCGTCAAGAAAGATTAATATAAAAGCCGGTCACATATTTCGATAGTTGGATATCGTCGTCTAGACGGATTTATGTAAAAGTCTGTCATCTACTGGATAAAGGATATTTGAGAAGATTATCAATTCACTCTATAGTTTAAGTTTATCAAACGTGATGACTTCCATTTGTTAGTCATTGCAAATCATAGCATATCATGTCTATAAAAAGAATATCCCTTTACAAAGAGGAACAACAAACAACTGAGGCATTTGCGGCATTCATCGTACTGGTACTTATGTAGATCTTCTGTCCAGCCATGACAATTAATGTGAAGAAAGTATTACAAAACGGCTTGGTAACAATCATCGTATCCGCACTCCTCTTTGGGATGCTTCTGTTAACAGAAACCTATAAAACCGTAACTATTTCAAAGTTTATTTTACCACAGCCAATCTACGGAAAGCATGACAAGAACGGATTTCAAAAAAGTCCAACGTTTTCAGAGAACAAAACAAAGATTTCAGAGGCACCAAAGGATGCTAAACTTATTTTATATTGGATTCCCAGTTCTTCTGGCTTTGACTACTTCGGGTTGAAAAAATATCACACCTCATTTGAGGATTTGAAGTGTCCCGTGGGTAACTGTAAGGTGACGGAGGATAAGAGTGCTGCCTATGATACCGATGCCATCATTTTCATGGGTAGGGCGTTAGGTAAAAAACCAGGAAAACGGAATCCCAAAACACGCTGGATATGGACCAATCACGAGAGTCCATGTCACACGTACTTATCCAATGATTGGACGTTCAACTGGACGATGACTTACAGGATGGACAGTGACATCTACAGTCCATACGGATTTCCCCTCCTTGACAAAAACCACGATGAAGCCANATTCCAGAGAACGAAACAAGGATTTCAGAGCCATCAAAGGATGTTAAACTTATTTTATATTGGATTCCTAGTTCTTCTGGTTTTGACTACTTCGGGTTGAAAAGATATCACGCCTCATTCGAGGATTTGAAGTGTCCCGTGGGTAACTGTAAGGTGACGGAGGATAAGAGTGCTGCCTATGATGCCGATGCCATCATTTTCATGGGTCCTGCGTTAGGTAAAAAACCAGGAAAACGGAACCCCAAAACACGCTGGATATGGACCAATCACGAGAGTCCATGTCACACGTACTTAGATAGTGATTGGGCGTTTAACTGGACGATGACTTACAGGAAGGACAGCGACATCTACAGCCCATACGGATTACCCCTCCTAGACGAAAACCACGATGAAGCAAAGAAAAGGAATTTCCTGTCAGTTGCCAGGAGCAAAACTAAATTAGCGGCCTGGGCAGTCAGCAATTGTAATGCTCCAAGTCAACGTATGGAATATGTGAAGGAATTACAGAAATATATGAGCGTGGACATCTATGGGGGTTGCGGGCCATTCAAATGTGGACGCGACAGGGAAGCTAAATGTACCGATATGTTAAACAAAACTTATAAATTTTATCTTTCATTTGAAAATAGTTTTGCCACGGATTATATCACAGAAAAATTATATAAAATCCTCCCATTGGACGTTATCCCGGTCACACGTTCAGGTGCCAACTACACGCGTCTTGGCATCCCTCCGTCCTGGCACATAGACACACACGACTTTAAGTCTCCCAAAGAGCTGGCACACAGACTGAAAGAACTAGATAAAGACGACGCTGAATATGCCAAATTGTTGCAATCAAAGGCTGGTATTCAAGTCTCTTCTTGGATTCGTGGTTATTGTGATATATGTGCCAAGCTTCATTCTCCAACGGGACCGGTGAAATCCTACAGCGCCCAGGATATACGTAGTTGGTACGGTACATGCAAACCCCCTGATGATCTGCAGTTTATGACACGAAGCCGGCGGAGTATAGAAGATTACTTCGTTAATTGAGGAACGGACGTTTTATCGGCTAATACGGCTGGTTGCTGTTAAAATAAATTATGCTGCACACGCATCAGGGAATGTCTACAGAAGAGCAAACAGAGTGTTACAAAGACATAAGATTACAAGCAGTTTGTTACAAAGTCATCAAAATACGAGCAGTTTGTTACTAAGTAATCAAATTACGAGCAGTTTGTTACAAGATAATCAAATTACGAACAGATTTAAAAAGTAATCATTTAAAGAGCAGTTTGTTACAAGGTAATCACTATACTCGCGAATGGTTAAATTGTAATCTAATTACGTGCGATTGGTTACAAAGTAATCTTATTATGAGCAGTTAGTTACAAAGCAATATAAATTACAAGCAGATTATTACAAAGTAATCAAATTACGAGCAGATTGTTATAAAGTAATCAAATTACGAGCATTTTGTTACAAGATAAATTACGAGCAGATCGTTACAAAGTAATCAAATTACGAGTAGCTTGTTACAAACTACTCGTAATTTGTAACAAACTACTTGTAATTTGATTACGAGTAGTTTGTTACAAAGTATATATTTTGAGCAGTTTGTTACAAAGTAATCAAAATACGAGCAATTTGTTACAAAGTTTATATTACGAGCAGTTAATTACGAAGTAATCATATTACGAGCAATTTGTTACTTAGTAATCAAATTATGAGCAGTTTGTTACAAAGCTATCATAAAACAAGCAGTTTGTTACAAACTACGTACACATCGTCAGTGTTAGTGCTACACGTACGTTCATAAACAGGATATCTTACACAATCCCACATCCCACGTTGGGAGCAAAGGGTCCATATGAAAGGTGTGTTTTTGAATGTGGTACTGTGTGCTGTCTCATTATAAGTGCCAACGTCTACGGCAACGTCTACGGCGCAATATGTACAACAGTTGGCATCTCTCAACCGAATTGCTTTCTCTAAAAAGTATTAGCAATGATATATCTTGTATACAAATGACCCTGATAAATCTTTTCTCAGGTGCATACATTCCCATGGACAGAATTACTCTGCCCATGATATTCCTAAGAAGTCCAAATAAGATTTCGTTTGAGGTCACAAAAAGTTTCTGCTAAAAGTAAATGAAGTCATCATTAAGGCATGATCCAGAACACCAGTGATTTTTTCGTGTGTACACAACATCAACAAAATGTACACAGCGCGTGACTGTCACTATTATCAAAATTCATCAGCTTGTCTTTCCGGTCATCTGGGCTGAAATTGTCGCAGAGGTCGGTTAAATCTCAAGGACAAAAGATGGCTTTTGTTTCCTGTCAGATAACACAGAGAGACAATATGCACCGACCCAGCCTTCCTGATGCCGTTCACTCACGCTCCACGTGGAAGTTGTTAGTTAAAGTCAAATTTGACGCGTGACGGTCCGTTTCATTTGAGCATGGAAACATACACATACATCCATGATTTGAGCAAAAAATTCTACTCGCTAAAAGACAGAAATACACTTGGCGCGTATTTCGCACGCGTCGTTTGTGGGTTTATAGCACGGTGCGGTTTCACTTCCCATGTTCTGCCTTTATATCTTTAACATATAGTCATATAGTTGAGGCAGATTCACCAGACGGGCAAATTTAGCAGTAAGTGACAGAGCGCTGACAACTGCCTTCACATACTACTGGTCTAACACTACTTGCCCAGGTGGTCACAGACGTGGCGTCTGTTATATTTTGCTATTTAATCATAACGCAGCTATAATAAAGAGTATGTTTTTTTATGTACAGACACAGATGTGTCTGTACATATAGCCGTCACTTGCGTCTGTCGTCGCCGTCGTCGCCGTCGCCGTGCACTTTTACTGATAACACGATAAGTGGAAAACTGTTTTTTCTTTTGGTTTGAAACTTACAGAACTGATGAATATTCATAATACGGAGGTCAAGTTCGAAAATCAGCATGATCGGGTCACTTTTAGGGTATTTATGCTGTTTTTTCACTTTTTTCAGCATATATGCAGCACCGATAACACGATAACTGGGAAAACCATTTTACCTTTTGGCTTGAAACTTACAGAACTGATAAATATTCATCATACGCAGGTCAAGTGTGAAAATCAGCGTGATTGGGTCATTTTTATGGAAGTTATGCTGTTTTTTTCACTTTTTTTCAGCATATATGCAACCCTGATAACACGATAAGTGAAAAACTGCTTTACTTTTTGGCCTGAAACTTACAGAACTGATGGATATTCATAATATGCAGGTCGAGTTCGAAAATCCGCATGATCAGGCCACTTTTATAGAAGTTATGCTGTTTTTTTCACTTTTTATTTCAGCATATATGCAACACTGATAACACAATATAAGAAAAACAGATAAGACAATTATCATTATACTCACAGGAGTGGTCAATCTTACTAAAACGCAGGTTGAGTTCAAAAGTCA